TGACGCGACAATGAATAATCGATCGATCCTGATCGCAACTCACAATTGGCACGCTGGTAGCCTGTGGTGGAACCGCTATCGAGGTGGTCGGAGATTTGGTGGAGGATGTGGATGAAGTCGAATTTCTCTTCTTTGCAGCGTTCGAGGCGCCGCGACGTGTGTAAACAAAGTCGGGATTTAATTGTTTGAATTCATCCTTAAGTTGTTTCGCCCTCACATTATAATGCTCTTTTCGAGACTGTAATGGTAGACGGTTGTAACGTTAATATTGGTTAGCTTTAAGTTGCCGGTGCATCAATCGCAAACTTTAAACATACCGTATCCATGCTCTTCCATTCCTCACCCAGAATTTTACTGACTTGAGCGGTCTGCATATTGGGATCGTTCTTTTGCAATTCCGGTCGGCGTTCACTTGAGAATAGGATGAATGCATTCATCGGTCTCTTCGGCTTATGTTCCTTTTGGGGAGGAAGGCCGGAAGGCACATCGGGATTTTTGGATTCTTGCGCTGGCGTGATATCATTGTTATTGTTATTATTGTTATTACTATTATTATTAGTGTTGTTATTGTTACTACTACTATTATTATTACTGGAATTGCTATTGTTTTGAGACAATGGTGCGGAAGATGAGGTTGCAACTGCCATTTGAGAACTTTTAGGGTGTTTTTGTTGTTGATTCGAGATGACCGGAACACTAGGGAAACTTGATGGTTGCTGCTGATTTACACCACTTCCGGGCATCATGTTACGTCCAATCTGCTTGGAGGGAGTCTGATGTTGATTTTGTTGTTGAATTTGAGGTTCGGATGGTTGTTGGGGAGGTGGTGGTTGCTGCGATTGTTGCTGCTGCTTTTGCTGAGGATGATGTTGCATTGATTGCGAATGCTGTATCTGTTGAATTTGTTGAGGTTGCATCGGTTGGGGATGATGCAATTGCTGTTTATGCTGCAACTGATTGTGTTGGTGTATTTGAGATTGTTGTTGCTGCTGCTGTTGCTTTTGTTGCTGTTGCTGTTGTTGTTGCTGTTGCTGTTGCTGATGTGATTGTTGAATTTGTGGGTGTAATTGT